TAGGTGCTGTTGAGGCTGCGACTCCAGGTGCTGGTGAGGCTGTCGCTCTAGGTGCCAGTGAGTCTGTGTCCTCAGGTGCTGGTGATTCTGCTCTCTCAGGTACTACGTCGGCTCCGCCCTCTCTCACCTTCAATCTTGACTCAGGGGCGTCTCGCTCCTTCTTTCGAGACCGCACCACACTCACGCCGCTCAGTCGGCCAGTGGCGGTCTCCCTGGCGGACCCCTCTGGGGGTCCTCTTCTGGCTCGCTACTCCACTGTCCTGCCGTGCCCTGCGGTCCCGTCTGGCGCCCTGTCCGGTCTCTACCTCCCCTCGTTCTCTACGAACTTGGTGGCGGGTGCTGACCTACAGGATGCAGGGGTCGACCAGTTCACCCCTGCACGCCGACGGGACACCCACTGCACGGACGCGGACACGGGTCGACACTTGACCACGTTCACACGTGGGCCGGGGTCGAGCCTGTACACACTCACGGTTCCGTCTCCTCCTCCTCCGTCTAGTCAGGTAGCTGCGTCGGGTCAGGTGTTTGCTGCAGCGTCCAGGTCTGGTCCTAAGTCTGCCCCCTGCTCGTGTCGCCTCCTGTCCCACGAGACCCTCCTGTGGCACCACAGGATGGGTCACCCCTCCCTGCCTCGTCTCCGGGGCATGGCCTCTCGCCTTCTTGTCTCTGGCCTTCCCCGGTCCCTCCCTCCTCTTCCTCCGGGACCTGGCCCTCCCTGTGTCCCCTGTGTCGAGGGTCGCCTGCGGGCTACCCCTCACTCCTCCCCGTTTCCTCCGACGGAGGCCCCGATGCAGACGCTTCACATGGACGTGTGGGGCCCAGCCCGCGTCCGTGGACAGGGTCACGAGCGCTACTTCCTGCTGGTGGTTGACGACTACTCGCGTTACACCACAGTCTTCCCCTTGCGCAGCAAGGGTGAGGTCACTGAGGTGTTGATCGACTGGATCCGCGCAGCTCGTCTCCAGCTCAGGCGGAGCTTCGGCTCGGACTTTCCTGTTTTGCGTCTGCACTCGGACAGAGGCGGAGAGTTCTCCTCCGGCCTTCTGCGAGCCTACTGTCAGGCACGAGGCATCCGCCAGACCTTCACGCTTCCGGACTCTCCACAGCAGAATGGGATTGCTGAGCGCCGCATCGGCATTGTCATGGACGTCGCCCGTACGTCCATGGTGCATGCGGCTGCCCCCCATTTTCTGTGGCCGTTTGCGGTGAGGTACGCCGCACATCAGATCAACCTTCAGCCCAGGGTCTCCAGACCGGAGACCTCCCCAGCTTTGCTGTGGACGGGGAAGGTTGGCGATGCGTCGGCGTTCCGTGTCTGGGGATCTCGGGCGTTTGTCCGCGACTTGTCTGCGGACAAGCTGTCCCCTCGTGCTGCTCCCTGCGTCTTCTTGGGTTTCCCCCCTGACGCACCTGGGTGGCAGTTTTACCACCCCACCTCTCGTCGTGTTCTGTCCTCCCAGTACGTCACGTTCGACGAGTCGGCTCCCTTCTACCAGCTCTTCCCCTACCGCACTCCGTCGCTCCCCCCCCCGCCCCTCTTCCTGGTCCCAGGTCCCCCCCCGGTAGACCCCCTCCCCCCTCAGGGTCCTGCCCCTTCAGGTGTGTCTCAGGTAGACGCGGTCGAGCCTGTCGAGGTCACTGGTGACTCTGGTGCTGCTGCGGGTGCGGAGCCTCGGGGTGCTGAGACTGGGGTTGCTGAGCCTGGGGGTGCTGAGACTGGGGGTGCTGAGACTGGGGGTGCTGAGCCTAGGGGTACTGAGCCTGGGGGTGCTGCGACTGGGGGTGCTGAGCCTGAGGGTGCTGAGCCTTGGGGTACTGAGCCTGGGGGTCTGTGACTGGGGGTGCTGAGCCTGGGGGTGCTGAGCCTGGGGGTGCTGTGCCTGGGGGTGCTGAGCCTGGGGGTTCTGCGTCTGGGAGTGCTGCGCCTGCTGCTTCTGTTCCTGGTGGTTCTCCTGACCGTTCCTCGCGCCGCGAGCCGCTCTCTCCACTGGAGCTGCGTGAGTGGTTTGCCCGGCGCTGGAGGCGAGCTGCTGGAGCCGGGGGTACTGCGGGTGCTGGAGGTTCCGTTGCTGCCGAGGGAGCTGGTACCACGGGTCCCGGAGGTGCTCATACTGAGGGTACTGGAGCTGCCGGGCCCGGGGGTGCCTCTGGAGCTGGAGCTGCTGCGGGTGCTGGCGCTGAGGCTACGACTGTAGGTCCTACTGCGGATACTTCTGCATCTGCTGGTGGTGCTGGAGTTGGAGCTGCTACTGGTGCTGGTGCTGCCTCTGGAGGTGTTGGTGCTGTCCCTGCTGTCTCTGGCGGTGCTGCGCGGCCTCGGCCGTACTTCGTTTCCTTCAGCAGGTTCTTGGTCTCCCGCCTTCCACTGGTCCTTCTCCTCCCGTAGAGTGTCCGCAGCCTGTCCCGTCACGGTCACAGTTACAGCCCGCCTCTCCTCTGCCTTCTCCTTCTCCCTACGCTGGTCCTACTGGAGGTCTTGCTGAGCGTCGTGAGCCTGCGTCCCGCCCTGTGTCGCCAGTCCGAGCTGCTCGCACTAGTGGTCGCGCTTCGCGTCAGCGTCCTCCTCCTGTCCCTGGCACGCACCAGATGTCTCTGCGTCCGTCCACTGCTCCTCTGCGTGCCCCTTTGCTTTCTCCTCCTCAGTCTTCTCTTCCTACTCTTGCCGACCCGGAGTCGGACTCTCTTCGTGCCGCCAGTCCTACTGTCACGCGTCTTCTTGCTACTCTTCTCACTGACCCTTCCTTTGAGTCCACTGCTGCGTCTGCCCTAGTTGCTGAGCTGGTCGACTTTGCTGCTGCGTGTCGTCTGGACTACGCTGCCAGTCTTGTTGCTGAGTCTGCGTCTGCTGCGTCTGCGTCTGCCTGTCCTCCGTCCGTCGGGGGTGGCTGTGCTCTTGGCACGGACGTCCTTGAGGACAGGCAGGAGGAGTTCCAGTGCTTTGCCGCCGCTTTGCCCCATCTCGTGTCCATGCTTGTTGCCCCTGAGGGAGACCCGGATGCTCTAGACATCCCGACCCCACGCTCTTACGCAGAGGCGATGGCCGGTCCCTACTCCTCTCAGTGGCAGTCAGCCATGGACGCAGAGATGGCCTCCTGGAAGTCCACAGGCACCTACGTTGACGCTGTTCCCCCTCCTGGGGCGAACATTGTCAGTGGCATGTGGATCTTCAGGGTGAAGCGGCCGCCGGGTTCTCTGCCTGTCTTCAAGGCGCGCTACGTGGCTCGTGGCTTCAGTCAGCGACAGGGAGTTGACTTCTTTCAGACCTTCTCCCCGACCCCGAAGATGACCACTCTTCGGGTTCTACTGCACGTCGCTGCTCAGCGTGACTACGAGCTACACTCTCTTGACTTCAGCACTGCTTTCCTGCAGGGCCGCCTGCACGAGGAGATCTGGCTGCGCCGTCTTCCTGGCTTCACTGGGTCGTTCCCTCCTGGTACCCAGTGGAGCCTCCGGCGGCCAGTCTATGGTCTCCGCCAGGCGCCGCGTGAGTGGCACGACACACTGAGGACTACACTTGCGGCTCTTGGGTTTGCTCCTTCTACTGCTGACCCGTCGCTGTTTCTGCGCACCGACACCTCGCTGCCGCCGTTCTACATCCTCGTGTACGTCGACGACTTGGTCTTTGCCACTGCGGACACTGCCGCACTCGCCCACGTGAAGTCCGAGCTGCAGAAGAGACACACGTGCACAGACCTGGGTGAACTGACAAGCTATCTTGGCTTGCGGATCACCCGGGACAGAGCACGCCGCACCATTACCCTGACTCAGTCACACATGGTGCAGCAGGTCCTTCAGCGCTTCCGCTTCACGTACTCCTCGCCTCAGTCCACTCCTCTGCCTATGGGACACTCGCTCTCAGCTCTGCCTTCGGATGAGTCCGTAGAGTCGAGTGGTCCGTATCCAGAGCTTGTGGGCTGCCTCATGTACCTGATGACTTGCACTCGACCTGACCTCGCATACCCTCTCAGCATCTTAGCACGCTATGTTGCTCCCGGCCGTCACCGGAAGGAGCACATGGATGCAGCTAAGAGGGTGTTGCGCTACTTGTGCAGTACGTCGGGCATGGGGCTAGTGCTTGGAGGGCGAGACCGGCCTGTTCTCACTGGGCACTCAGACGCTTCTTGGGCTGACGACCAGGCTACTCAGAGGTCGTCTCAGGGTTACACCTTCAGTCTTGGCTCTGGCTCTGTCTCTTGGCGCTCTACTCGCTCTTCTTCGGTTCTCAGCTCCTGCTGTGAGGCTGAGATCTACGCCACGGCCATGGCTGCCCAGGAGCTTCGCTGGCTCACCTACCTGTTGACCGACCTTGGAGAGCAGCCTCGTTCTCCTCCAGTGCTGTACGTCGACAACAAGGCAACCATTGCCTTGTGTGAGGAGCACAGACTGGAGCACAGGACGAAGCACATTGCTCTGCGCTACTTCCTTGCTCGAGAGCTGCAGCAGCGTGGTCAGCTTCGCCTGCGTTTCGTGGCCACTGAGGCCAACACTGCTGATGTGTTCACCAAGGCACTTCCGCCTCGTGACCATCAGCGCTTTTGCACTCTGCTAGGCCTTGTGCCCACTGGGCCTCACTTGCTTTCCTCTTGACCTTGCTTGTACTGGTGCATATATATATCCATGCTCTTGCTTGTTTAGCACTGTTATATATATATGCTCTGCTGCATGTGAACTGGCCTTGTGGCCTTGACCTTGTGCTCGGAATTTGTGTGGTATCCTTGAGATCCACCCTGAGCTTGCTTTGCTTTGCTTTGCTTTGCTTGACTGGTCTTGTGACCCCTTGCTCTCCCCCACTTTGCCTATGGGGGTGTGTCAGATGATTATATTACTGATGCATATATCTAGGCTGTAGTGGGGTAGCCCATAGGGGGTACAACCCAATTAGGGTTGGTACTTGTACTTGTTTCATTTCATAGTGCACACATTCCTCTCTCTAATCTCAACATTTCATTGCTGATTCTTAGCCTCTGTGACAGCTGAGATATGACCATCGAACCGATCTCTCAATGGCCGACGCCTGGCTTCACTCGGCTCGCAAGCTGCTTCCCCTCACTCTCTCCCTCCTGCTCCTCCTCGCCGTCACCAGGACCAGCTGCGCGCGGCTTATCCTTCACCCGTCCCCGTCCGACACCAGCGCGGATTCCGCGGTATCCCCACTCAGGGTGGAGCGGAAATTGTTCAGCTGGGACGATTTGACCGAGGAACATGTTATTAACGGCAGCTTCGGCATGATTGACGGTCCAAGTGACTACGCGGTGACTCAGTCGGTCGTGGAATTATTCTTGAACGCGGGGTACAACGTGATGGTCATTCAAAGCAAGCACTCCGTGCAGGGCGACCCGGCGTCCGCGCAGGTGGAGGTGCGGCATTCCAGGGATATATCGAAATTCACCGAGTATTACAAGAAGGGACGTTTCTGTGTGAAGAATCTTGGCAATGACAGGTACAAAAACTGGGCGTTTGGAGGCGTCTGGAAGCAAGTCGGCGCGGATAAGAAGGTTGTCGTCTTTTCCTGATTTGGTTCGGTAGTTGATCAAGAGCCTTGGCTTTCATTTTTTTTTTTTTTTTTTTTTTTTGGAATTGCTGAGTGCATTAAAAGGACAATGCATACAACAAGAGCAGTCGTAACTGAGCGTGAGGGCGGGCTTCATGCACCACCCAGACAGGCAACCTAGGGGGGTCTAAAAGCCCTCCTTGGCTTGTTCCAAATTGCATCGAAACTGGCCGACCACTTCCACTTCTTGTCGCCAGCCTCACGGATCCTTGTCAGCATTTTTTGCTCAGCTTCGAAAACCCCCCTGAATCTTTTGTGCTTCCCCGACGTGCCCGGCCTCAGACATTTCGCTCCTGTAGCCTTCGTGTATACCCTCGCATGCAGCCGAAAAGCTACCCCGATCCTCCTGAGCACCCTCCTCGCTCTGAACTTCTGCCCTCGAAACGTGGCATCACATCGTTCCACCCACAGCTGGTGGAGGGCGATAGCCGTGAGCGTTCCTTCTGGAAAGTCAGTCACTGTTCCAGATTCCATGAACAGCAGGTCTCCCAACGAGCTCGGAGACCGTGAAGGGTTGAGCATGCGGAGGGCACGACGTAGCCCTGAGACCACTGGTTGAATTCTAGGGCAGGTGAACAGGCAGTGTTCATGCGTCTCCTCCTCCCCGCAGTATGGGCACTTCGGCTTGCAGCTCAAAAAATCCACCCTCTCCCCAACCTGTAGGTTCAGGTTATGCACCCGCGTGAGGACGTCACGTGGCCGGCTCGGGATAGCGAGCGAGTTACGTGTACGAATAACCCGCTGCCAGTCAATCTTTCCACTCCAGCGACCAGCCCACTTCTCTTGTTTCGTCAGGATTGCGGTAGGCTTGGCCCATGCCTCCCTCAACCGCTTCAGAGGGGCGAGCTGCCCGTCCACAAATATGGCTGACCTGAAGATCGAGGTAACTGCGCTTCCCTCCCCTCTGGGTGAAACAGCTCCAGAAACTCCCCCAGCCCCCTGTGCCGAGCCAGGTACCAAGAGGTTCTTCCAATCTGGTGGAGCAGCTGCCAACGCCTTGAGAGCCAAGCGTGCTGACTCTTTCCCTCTCAGCTCCCTCTCCAGGATTTCCATGTCCTTAACCGCTGCTACGCCTGAGGAGTCAGTGGTTACCAGGTCACCCAAACGCGTTTCCCAAAGACCTTTTGCCGCTTGCTGACCTCCGATCGGGTTTGTGCCGTTCAGTAAAATATTCCTGTTAAAAACAAGCCGTTCATGCGCCACCTCCTCTTTGTTGAGAGCACCCCCGATCACGGCTAATGGCGACATCAGAAAAACCTCACACGTCTGCTTCCACCGTTCCTCGTCACCCGGCCAGTGCTTCAGCAATTTCTCGTGCGCCACGAAAGTGTCGTTCCCCATCGGGAGTCCGGCCGTAGTGAGCATAACTTCCTTTTTTTTTTCCCGTTCCCCTCCAGCAGTAGACCGCCGATCCTCCTGGCAACCAAACAAGCGAGTAGGATATCCGGATCCAGCACCCCAAGGCCGCCGTCCACTCTGGGGGTGGAAAGAAGATCCCAGCTCCAAAGGAAATAGCTCCCATCCGCCAATGCGTTATTCCCTGACAGAAAGTTGTGCATCAGCTTCAAGAGCTGCTTCCAGACGTTCTCAGGTGGGGGATACACCTGCGCCTGGTAAGCGATTCTCGGCGTGATGTAGCAATTTATGATCACCACTCTGGCCGCGATCGTGAGGAAGAGCGCCTTCCATTTTATCAGCTCAACTGTGATTTTTTCGAAGGCTCTCTGCCAGGTTGGCGCACTGCTTCCAGAGGGAGTGACCCACACCCCGAGTAACCGCTCCGCTTCGTCCGCCTTTGCCCACTTAAAACCTCCCAGCGTCCCAGGTCTCCGCCCAAGGTTGTGACCGAGCGGCATGACCACTGACTTGTCTCTGTTTGTCGCCAAACCCGACAGTTGCGCGAAGTAGTCCAAGAGTTTTTCAGCCCTGGCAATCTGTCGCTTCCCCTCCAGGAAGAGTGTCGTGTCATCCGCATAACCCAGGTATACCAGCCGCTGCCCTGCCTTGTTGCAGAGTCCGAGTTTGCGACGGCAAGCTTCTTGCGCAAGGGGTTCCACCGCGCACAGGAAGAGGTAAGGGGCGAGTGGACACCCTTGCCTGACTCCTGACTTCACATCTACCGCTTCGCCCAGCCAGCCGTTAACTAAAAGTCTTGTCTTTGTCTCCCTGTGCAGGCCCTCCACCCAGCCGACGAACCTCTCCGGGAAACCCATCTCCCTGAGGACCGTGAAGATGAAGCTTCTTGAGACGGAGTCAAACGCTTTGCGGAAGTCAACCAACAGCAAGTACCAGTCCTCGTCACCCTTCTTTGCCGCCTCAATCACGTCGGCTACCACACCGATCGCGTCCGAGATTCTCCTCCCGGGTATGAACCCATACTGTTCCTCGGAGATTACTCGGTGAAGCAAGGGCCTCATCCTGTTCGCCACCACACGCGCCAGAACTTTGTAAGTGAAGTTAAGTAGAGTGATTGGTCTGTAATTGTCCAGCTTGTCCTTGTCTCCCTTTTTATGAAGCAAAATGGTGACTGCTTCCTTAATGCTGGCAGGAATTGAAGCCGTGTCAGAGAAGTTCTGCGCCATTCTAAGGAATTCCCCACCCAAGATGTCCCAGTTCCGTTCGAAAAGTTCTTTCGGAAGGCCGTCCTTCCCCGGCGACTTATTGTTAGCCAGCGCCTTGAAGGCCTGTTTCACTTCCTGCTCCGTCCAATCTGCTTCCAACATCTCCGCCGCCTCCGCATTCAGCCTTTTCCCCGGAAGTGGCTTCCACCGCTCCGACGAAGTCCTGCCGTCTGCTCCAAACAGGTCGGTGTAGTACTGAGTGGCTGCTTTCAGAATTCCCTGAGCGTCTGAAACTGTCGTCCCACCCACCATTAACTCCGCGATTTGCGTGCGCTGCTTTCTGACCTTCACCCGTGCCGACAGGAAGGGAGACGGAACCTCCCCTGCAAGCTCCGTGTTCGTGCCTGCCATCAGGTGCAACCTGTCCCGCTTGGCCGCATGATATTCGTGCAGTTGCGTTTCTCTGACCAGCAGAAGATCTCTCGTCCGCTGACAGCCTGGACTCCGCATCTGCTCCTGCCTCAGCTCCGCAACTACATCTACCAGATGAGCAATAGTTCTCTTAATCCTCTTCCCCTCCTCTTTCATGTATGAGCGCAGACCCGCGTTCAGCCTACCCAACAGCAGCTGAAAGTCCTCTACTCCGTTCTCCGCCGCCTTGGTAAGAGCGGCTTCCACCGCCTTCCGCACTCCTGGCCTTCCGATTGCTGCTGCGTGCAGCCTCCAGATCCCGGGACCCAGGTGAGTGGTGGCTCTGGTCTTGAAAGCGATTTTTATGGCGAACCCATGATCAGAGATATGTTCTTCAGGCATCGTGTGAGCAGCGACTTCAAGATGGGGGAGGAGAGAGCAAGAGATGAGGGCTCGATCGATCCTGGAGCTTGAGTCACTGGAGGCGGAATAAAAGGTAAACTCCCGCTTCTTTGGGTGCAGGGCGCGAAACGAATCTGAGAACTGAAAGCGACTGCAGCGAGCGATGAGCCTGTCGTTTTCTATGTGTGTCCCCGTCTGTGAGGTTCTGTCTAAAGTGGGGTCCTCTACCGTGTTCAAATCTCCTATCAAGACGACATGCGCGTTGGACTGGATCTGATCTATGGCTGGACCGATGACATTGGTTAGAAAGGAGCATCTGGTGGTGGCATCCGCAGGGTAGTAGGCTGCTAAAAGCACAAGGGTGAGACCCGGTCGGCTAACTTCTGCTACTATCAGTCTGCCAAAGGGGTGTGCGGCGATGCAACGAACTAGGATGGAGGGATCTCTGGTGAGCACCGCAACCCCACCGGCTTTGTCAATGGGGGGGGTGGTGAGGACTGATGCGAAGGGTGGAGTTTTCCAGTAGGGGTGATCGTGTGGAAGTCTAGTGTCTGAGAGAATGAGGATGTCGGCTGCTGTGCGTGTCCATGCTGTGACTCTGGATTGCTTTGTTCTGTCGCCAAGGCCGTTAACGTTCAGGCCTGCTAAGGAGAGAAAATTCTTGTTCGTCATTTATTCACTGATTGGCAGCCCCTGTTCATCCACAGGCTGATGACGGACACAACGCTAACAACTGCACTCCAACCTACTATCGACCACAGCACACGATTCTCGCATTGCAGCCTCAGAACCCATAGTCTTTCTTCAGGCTGGCAAGGACCGCCTTGTCCAGTGAGACCTTTGTTGCTGTGCCCAGCTTCTCCAAGTTCAGCAGGTGAGTCGCTGAGACGATGTGGTCTGCAGCAGCCATGAAGGATTTTCCTTTCGCCTTTCCACAGCACAATTGCGTACAGATCCACTCCTCGCGGTTGCTGCCGGTTGAGATAAGTGCAATCGCAGGATCTTTCAAGATGGGGGTGATCAGAGCGGAGGTGCTCAGGGATGAGGCTGCGAGAGCAAACGGGGACGTCAGTGCCTGGTGAAAGAGGTAAGGGTGAGGCGACGTTATGGAAATGATCGATGCGGTTACCGTTAATACGGTGAATCTTTCCCAGGCACAAGTTCCACTTCCCTATGTTGTTCTGCCGCTCTGTGATGTACAGATCATGATGAATGTCATAATGCTGGCCACCGCAGAGCAGGCAGGACAGTGAAGGGAAGTGGACTAGCAGCTTCGCGCCAGTCTCCATCGGATTGTCGACGATGTGTCGCCAGCGGTAGCGGTCACCAGGATGCTGAACGACCAGGCCCTTGATCACATCAGTATCCGCACCGGTAAGAGGATGAGCCACGCGGTGGAAAGCAAAACCCTCTTTGAAGGCAGACTGCTTCCGCATCTTTAGCTTGAAGCGGACGAGCAGATCCTTCAGCACCTCAGGGACAATGTTAGCAGGTACGCGACGAAAAAGCACTTCAATAGCAAGAGGGTGAGCAGCTTTCTCCTTAAGGTACGAGGAATCTTCCGTGTGCTGCCAGATTGCCGGACCGTGCGCCTTCTGGTACTCGAAGACATGTGACTTGATATGGTGAGCATCCCTCTCGTCCAGGAAGGAAATTTGCAGCCGGCAGAAGCGCGTCTTCGCCACGTAACCAGGAGTCATCTCCTGAATGTTGGCCGTGATTCCAGCATTCGCGGTAAGGGAGGAGCACCACACCTTAGACATCAGAAGACGGACGGCTGAGATGATAGCTTTGATCTCCTGTGACAGCACCATCGGAATGAGTAAGATAACGGTAAAGCGGAGGCGGAAAGCATCTTCCTTTGCGATATCAATGTCTAACTCTTCTTCCGAGTCGTCTTCCAGAAACTCTTCCTCGTCGGCAACCACGGACTGATGCAACTGACTCTTTTCCTCCACTGTCAGTCCCGAGCTTCCCGCAGCACCAGCAGCAGACACTGATGCCGGCTCAACCGCGACAGCCTTATCCTTGGACGAGTTCACCGTGTGTGCCGAATCCTTCCCAACAGCCTCTTCGTCCACAGGTGTTGGCGTGAAGTTCTGATCCGGCATGATGTCGTCAGGGAGAGTAACATCCACGGCCGCCTTAGTCGAGCGACCCTTCGGAGGCATGGTGCGATGATGACTTGAAGAGAACGGCTGAAGGATCGTTGAGCAGATCCTGGTTGACCGATAAGCTTGTGAAGCTTCTGCTGCTCGAGTACTGAGCACCACCTCCTTATAACCTTCTCTCTGCGCCAGGGATTTGCTCTCTTGATCGAAATGGTGCGTTCCCGAGGTTGAAACCTTGGGATCATGTCGAGGTTGGAAAGACTTGATAATGACCTTGCGTTTTGAAGAGTAGATACACTGCTAATGTATTGTTTTGAAAAAAGGCCTGGACGCGACATTGTCAGAGAACCTTGGAGTTAGGTTAGCTTGAAATATGCTTGCAACAGTGAGCCGAACCCGAGATGCCGAAGATACAATGCCCGCGAAGTAGACATAAAAAGGATATCCTCCGCTTCTTAACGAACTCAGGAAAACAGATCTGTGCTCAATGTTACCAACAGGTAAGTAACCTTCACATAACAGGCCTCCGAAGCTGCGCGGAGAAATCCATGGCGATCTCATGGCGGTCTGCTCATTCAGCTGCGTACAAGAGCAACTAGGGACGCGTCAGCCAGAATTAGAGCCTTGGCTTTCAGGTTTACGATAGTTGAAATGATGAGGTGATCTCATCAATGGTGCTGGTGTTATTGTTATGCTTGTTGCTGTAAAAAGATGCTGATCCACAGAATGCACTGATCCTCTCTACAATTTCACCTGTACCTTCACAATACCATTGTAAAGGCCTCGTGGGCTAAAACTACTGCTCTGAATGTGCTTCAATGGGTACTTCTGCGTAGGGCACATGGTACTGAGCAATCCCACAGTATGTTTAGTGACAAAAACCATGAATTGACAGATAGCCGTGGCTTATAGCACACCATAGAACTGTTTGTTACAACCACATACAGCATTGAAGGCCGGAACTGCTAAGTGAGAGGCCCACACCAAATCATTGTTTAGCCTGCTGACGTGGACGGGCCAGGGCTGATTTTATCAGGGTAATTACCCTGATTTCAGGGTGATTACAGGCTTCTCACCTGGTGGCCCCTGCAATCTCAGAATTTCTGACTTGTGAACACTGATCCATTCAGAATAGTGCTTTAGCGAACCCTGAAATATTGTATCTAGGCTCAGAGTAGTGTTCTTACTGACTCTGTCAATGTAGAGTACGCGTTCTGTGGACTCTGAACTTGACCTTATCGGAACGAAGTTTCTCGAAAATTTCCTTCCGATAACCCCGTTGAAATGAACGAACAGGAATGATTGAACTAACAGTGAAATCAGTACAAGTACCTAACCCTAGAATTGTGTACCCCCTATAGGCTAACCCACTGTAGCCTAAACAAGCACAACATATATAATGTTTGACACACCCCCATAGGCGAAGTGGGGGAGAACTAGGGGTCACAAGACCAATCAAGTAAAGCAAAGCAAAGCAAGCTCAGGGTGGATCACAAAGTCACCACACATTCCGAGCACAAGTTCAAGGCCACAAGGCCAGTTCACATGCAGGAGTACATATATATATATATATATATATATATATATATAAGGCTAGACAAGCAAGAGCAGGTATATATATATATATGTAACAGTACAAGCAAGGTCAAGAGGTGAGCAAGTGAGGCAAGACAGGTACAACGCCCGGGTCTTCAGCACCAGCAGCAGCTCCAACGCCCGGGTCTTCAGCACCAGCAGCAGCTCCAACGCCCGGGTCCTCAGTACCAGCAGCAGCTCCAACGCCCGGGTCCTCAGCACCAGCAGCAGCACCAGCGCCAGAGTCCGCAGCACCAGCCGTAGCTCCAACGCCCGGGTCCGCAGCACCAGAAACAGCTCCAACCTCTGGGGCCGTAGCACCAGCAGAACCAGTAGAGTCTCTAGCACCAGTAGCACCACCAGCAGCAGCGGGGTCCGCGACACCAGGCGCGCCACTCCGAAGAGTGCAGCGCCGCTCGTACCACTCACGGATCCGCTCACGGGAGGGGAGGTCCCGGCTAGGAGGAGAAGCACTAGCACCAGTCCCAGTAGTACGCCTGGCTCCAGAGGTACCTCTCCTGAGGCTGCAGTACTGGAAGTACCACTCATGCAGCTGCTCCGAGGAGAGGGCTCCGCCAGGTGTAGGACCCTCAGGCACAGGACCTCTAGACTCAGAACCCTTAGACTCCGGACTCTGCAGCTCAGCACCCCCAGGCTCAGTACTCCCAAGCTCAGCACCCCCAGGCTCCGCACCCCAAGGCTCAGCACCCCCAGGCTCCGCACCCCCAGGCTCCGCACCCCCAGGCTCCGCACCCCCAGGCTCCGTACCCCCAGGCTCCGCACCCCCAGGCTCAGCACCCCCAGGCTCCGCACCCACAGCAGGACGAGAGTCGAAAGCTACCTCAACAGGCTCAACCGGGTCTACCTGAGACACACCTGAGGGAGCGGCACCCTGAGGGGGGAGGGGGTCTACAACAGCAGCACATGGCGCGAGGAAGAGAGGCGGGGGGGGGGAGCGGGGCAGTGCGGTAGGGGAAGAGGCGGTAGTAGGGGACGGACTCGTCAAAAGTGACGTCCTGAGAGGGCAAGACTCGGCGCGAGGTGGCGTGGTAAAACTGCCAACCAGGCGCGTCCGGGACAAAGCCGAGGAAGACGCAGGGAACAGCACGGGAGGAGAGCTTGTCCGCAGACGTATCGCGGACAAAAACTCGAGATCCCCAGACCCGGAAACACGACGCATCGCCAACCTCCCCCGTCCACAGCAGTGTGGGCGAGGTCTCCGGCAAGGAGACACGGGGCCAGAGGTTGAGCTGATGCGCAGCGTACCGGACCGCAAACGGCCACAGAAAGTGGGGGGCAGCCGCATGGATCAAGGAGGTATGGGCGACCTCCATGACCAGGCCAATGCGGCGCTTTGCAATCCCATTCTGCTGTGGAGAGGCCAGAAGCGTGAACGACTGCTCAATGCCGTGCTCAGCACAGTAGGCTGCCAAGAGGTCGGAGGAGAACTCACCACCTCTGTCAGAGTGCAAGCGCAGGACAGGAAAGTCCGAGTGGAAACGCTCGCTGAGCTGGAGACGGGCTCTGCGGATCCAAGGGATCAAGACATCAGGGACCTCACCCTTGGTGCGCAAGGGGAAGACCGTGGTGTAGCGCGAGTAGTCGTCAACAACTATCAGGAAGTACCTCTCCTGACCCTGACCACGGACGCGGGCTGGGCCCCACACGTCCATGTGGAGCGTCTGCAAGGGAGCAGTCGTCGGGGGAAACGAGGAGGAGTGAGGAGCGGCGCGCTGCCGCCCCTCGACGCAGGGAAGAGAGGGAGGAGCAGGCGAGGGTGGGAGGGGAGGGAGGACTCTGGGAAGACCGGAGAGAAGGTACCGGGAGTGCATGGCACGAAGGCGCTGCACAGACGGGTGGCCAAGTCGGTGGTGCCAGAGGACAGTCTCGTGCGCTAGAGAGCGACACAAGCAGGGGGCAGACAGCTCACCTGATGCGGACGCAGACGCAGACGCAGCGACCTGAGGGGACTCAGTGGTCAGTGTGTACAGGTCCGACCCCGGCTGCCGAGTGAAGGTAGCCAAGTGGCGGCCCGTACGAGCACACGTGCAGTGTGTCACGCGCTCGTAGGCAGGGGTGAACTGGTGAACACCCCCGTCCTGGAGTGCACTACCTGCCACCAAGTTCGTAGAGAACGAGGGGAGGTGGAGACCTGGTAGTGTGCCCGACGGGACCGCAGGACAGGGAAGGACAGTGGAGGAGGTCGCAATGACTGGACCCCCAGAGGGGTCAGCGAGGGAGACAGCAACTGGCCGAGCAAGCGGCTCAAGGGCAGTGCGGTCACGAAAGAAGCAGCGAGAAGCACCTGAGTCCAGTGTGAAGGTGTGCAGTGCTGCCGTCGACTCAGTACCAGGTGGGGCAGACGCACAAGCACCTAGAGCAGCTGCCTCACCAGCACCTGGGGTAGCACACACGCGAGTACTTGGAGCGGCAGACGCACTAGTCCTAATGCCCGGGTCGGGTGGCACACACAGGTACTCAGCACCCTCTCCACTAGTAGACATCACATACATAGCAGTGAGAATGGCATCAAAGTCTAGAGCATAGATATCAATCCCCTTCTTCAGGAGATTAACCCAGCGGGGCAGCTCTGTGGCCTGAGGGAACTGAACACGCCAAGCGTCGTTGAGACGAGCGAAGCAGCGCTGTGTGGCGTGCGGTCCCCCACACGGCTGACCAGTGCGGTCACCAGTGCGAATGACGTACGTGCAGCTAAAGCCACCCCCCCCCCCCCCCCCCCCCCCCGTGCTGAGAGTACCACTCACGGACCTCCTGGGGCGACGGAATGTGCTGCTGGCCCTGGCCACCGCCAGCGCCTCCACGACCACCACCGCCGCCGCCACCTCCTCGACCACCCCAACCTCTGCCGCCGCCGCGTCCACCGCCACCCCCACCACCGCCTCCGCCCCTGCCACCTCCCCCGCCGCTGCCGCCACCACCCCCACCGCTGCCACTAGCCCCTCCAGTCGCGCCACCACCCCCACCGCCGCCACCGCCCCCACCACCGCCTCCCCCGCTGTCACCGCCACCTCCCTTGCCCCCTTTGCCTTTGCCAGTGCGGCGCCCGCTCGAAGCAGACGCAGTCTCGACCTTCTCAGCACCAAGGAGGTCGACAGCAGCAGCAGAGGCGACAGAGGGAAGAAGGGGGGATTGAGAACACCCCTCAAAGAACGGGGTACGGGGGTCGCCACGAGAGGCACCTACAGCGACTATGCTAGCCTCAGCTGCAAGGAGTTCCTTCTCGAGGAGGGCAATGGTGAGCTCAGTGGGGCAGCGAGCTAGGAAGTGGGCCCTGACTGAGCGCAGAGTGTCAGGGAGGCGGGTGACTAGGTGGTAGAGAGTGAGCCAGAGTGGGGGTGGGTTCTTGGCAAGGAACTCATTAGGCATGGGGGCGCAGAAGCGAGCCTCACTAGTGCGGAGGTGCGTAATGAGGTCAGCGACTGTGTGGAAAGAGGCTAAGTCGGGGAACAGGTAGGGAAGAGAGAGACGGCCTAGTGCGGCAGAGGCCGGTGAGGAGTAGCGGGCAACGACAGCAGTGTACGGTGCCTGTGCAGTCTTGTGCTGCCCAAAGTGCTTGCGCTCATCTATCGGCAGGGAGTTGCGAATAACGAAGCGAGCGTGGGCGTCACGAGTCTGCCACTGTGAGCGGGCAGTGCTGTCAGCAGTAGCAGTAGGAGCAGGAGCATGGCCTAGGGCGTGATCGTACAGTGAGATGTCCTCCTTGGCAGTGAGCTGTAGGAAGAGGTGTAGGTCATCTAGCCAGGTTTCGAACTTCACTAGGCGGCCCTCAGCATCGAAAGCCAGCACAGGAGGGCTAGCCATAGCAGTAGTAGGAGTAATAGCAGTAGGGGCATCCCAAAAACAGTAGGCAGGGCGACTCAGGTAGGGCGGCTCGGTCCAGTACGGGCGGCGCGGCTCGGTTCAGGTAGGGCCGCGCGGCTCGGGAAGGGCGGCGCGGCTAGGTTCGGGCGGCTCGGTTCGGGCGGCTCGGTTCGGGCGGCTCGGTTTGGGCTGGGCGGCTCGGTTCGGGCGGCTCGGTTCGGGCGGCTCGGTTCGGGCGGCTCGGTTCGGGCTGGGCGGCTCGGTTCGGGCTGCTAGGGTCGGGCGGCTCGTTCTGGGGGGGGCGTTCGGGGCCTCTAGGGGCGAGCGTGGGGCCGTAAGGGGCCGCTAAGGGCGAGCGCGGGGCCGATCGGGGCCTCTAGGGGCGAGCGCGGGGCCGTAAGGGGCCGCTAAGGGCGAGCGCGGGGCCGTTCAGGGCCTCTAGGGGCGAGCGCGGGGCCGTAAGGGGCCGCTAAGGGCGAGCGCGGGGCCGTTCGGGGCCTCTAGGGGCGAGCGCGGGGCCGTAAGGGGCCGCTAAGGGCGAGCGCGGGGCCGTAAGGGGCGAGCGCGTGGGCCGACGGGGCCTTAAGGGGCGGCGCGCGAGTCGCTAAGGGGCGGGTCGCGGGTCGCGGGGCCTTAGGGGGCCGTGAAAAACGAGGCGCCCTAGGGCGCAGTTAGGTAGGTAGGTAGTGGTGGGCCCTAAAAAAAAAACGGTCCTAGCGAAGGACCTGCTCTATACCATGTTGAAATGAACGAACAGGAATGATTGAACTAACAGTGAAATCAGTACAAGTACCTAACCCTAGAATTGTGTACCCCCTATAGGCTAACCCACTGTAGCCTAAACAAACACAACATATATAATGTTTGACAAAGCCCGCCTTCGGATTGGTCGCAGTACAGCCAGAGCGTGAGCAGCGCGCGGCAACATGTCTCACAAGTGAATACACTCTACGTATGTTAGTTTCACAGAATTTGAAGATGTTGGTTGTATTGTCACCTGCGTGTGCGTGAAGTTACCAACACATTTTTTGCATTTCGCACAATGAAGTTGGCGAATTGCGGGTAATCAGCGAATCGGAAATCTTGGCACATCTACGGTACCGAACTGTTTGGTGGACCGAAATTGCTCGTTTCTTCCCCATGCTAAAACGTGTGGAGAAATACCATTTTTCAAAAGTAAATGGTAAGAAAGTAACGTGCACAAGGTGTGCACAAAATGATGTCGCGTTGTGTTGGGATCATGCGGAGTGAAAATGTTTTCCCCGTTAAACACAGTCTGCGTTACTACATTGATGTTCAATTCTCAACCCTGAGTAATCAGAGTCAAGTACTTTTCAACACTGAGCTGAGCAATTAGAGTAGCCTACCTGTGGCTAATATGCACCCATAATAGAGGAGGAAAATTTTCCCCGGAATCAGGGAGGCTTAAAATGAAACGTCAGCCCTGGTACGGGCTGCACCGCTATCGTTATAGGAACACTCAACAAGGTTGGCTATCGTTGCTGGTTGTCGTGTAGATGTGGAGCGGTCGAGAGCGGTAGGGAAGCCCGGAACACCACCGCAATCCATGCATTTCGTCTGCGTGAGAGTAAAAGATGGTCTATGGGCTCTACCACGCGTCACAACGTTTTGCTGACATCGCTACCCAAGCCAATTCAAAACCTCTTTTGGTTTCTGGGAGAGGAAAAACATGATTTCTCTCCTAAGCGTTTAGCTTTCTATAAAGATTCCTTTCACAATTTGCAGAAGCTAGAATGGCTGAATGTAATTTGTAAATTTCAAACTCTCTACTTCTGGTGAAAATGTCAATGACGCGGTGTAGCTTGAAACCTCATTGTGCTCGTTACCCCCAAATCACTTCAAACGATGTGTGCTCAACATCATCGATTTCACCAACGCGCGGAACGGCTCTCGCCTGCAGCGAAGTAACCGACCTCTCTCCCTACCCTACCCTGATTGTCCCCTTCACTTCCACCCTTGCCTTCCACCCCTCGACACGCCTCAGCTCACCACCCACACTCAGCTTACCGCCAGCCGCCTCTATGACTAAAGCGCATTTGCAACTCCCTTTTTCCTCTACCAACCGCCTAGTCGGACTCGAGGAACTACCGGTATATTTTTCACGTTTCCGAGCATACTCTGTACGCTAATCATTGGCAATGGCGGCTCTAGCGAGTCGCATACCGCCTTCACGTCAGAGTCCGAGTCCAAGTGCGAACCATGGGGAAGGGCTATATATTAGAAGCTGCAAATCACCACAATCATCACAGATTCTGCCTCCGTTCTCTTTTCTACTTACGATCTCGCATACCAAGCACCTCGCGGCTCACGTATTTGAATCCTCCTGTGTGATTCTCATTTGCATTAACGTGTACGTTTAGCTGTTCACCCTTGATAGTTTGACACCGTTTTCGTAATGGCCAACTCCTGGATTCACTCAACTCGCAAGCTGTTTCCTCTCACTCTCTCCGTCCTGCTCCTCTTCGACGTCACCAACGCCAACGCCGCGCGGCCTATCCTGCACCCCTCCCCGTCCGACACCATCGCGGATTCCGCGGTATCCCCGCACAGGGTGGAGCGGAAGCTGTTCAGCTGGGACGGGGTGACCGTCGATCAGATAATTGTGGGCAGCCTGGGCATGATCGGCGGTCCAGAGGACGACGAGGTGACGACGAAGATCGTGGAGATATTCATGAACGCGGGGTACAACGTGATGGTCATTCAGAGCGACCACTCCATGCAGGGCGACCCGGCGTCCGCGCAGGTGGAGGTGTGGCACTTCTGGGATAACTCCGAGTTCAAGGTGTATTACAAGCAGGGCCCGTTCTCTATGGAGAATCTTGGCAATGGCGGGTACGAGAACTGGGCGTTCGGAGGCAACTGGGTGCGCTACGGTGCGGATAAGAAGGTCGCCGTGTTCTCGTGAATCAGTTTCTAGTCCTCCGAGATTCTGGGGGAGGGTCGGATTAGATTAGACCTAGCAGATGTGACCAGTAGGGCCTATTTTTGGATTTTAGGTACTCTGATTTCCAGAGTAGTTTTTTTCCCAACTCTGAAATCTAGGGTTGTTCCTGCGCCTTACTCTGATTTGTCAGAGTAACCCTATACTTTAAAACAAAAACCCAGGCACGTCAGAGTAATATTTTTCTCTACTCTGATGTTAGTTAAGTTTGGTGTACCATGACCTCAATAGGTTTTTGTTACGCCTTTTGTACTTGCATTTCCGCGTCGCCCACGTTTCCCCCCTCACTGCGATGTTTCAGAGTGAGGTGTTGGCGGCACCGATAATCTGACTAAGGGCATGTCCGAAGTGAAACGTCAATAGATGTCGCTGGATGTCGGTGAATGTCATCCCTCGGATCGACAGTTCCAACCGTCAGGATTTACCGACATCCCCAAACGGATGTCCACGGATGTCGACGTTTCACTTCGGACACCCCCAAAGAGCGTGTCTGAAGTGAAATGTCGACGGATGTACAGTTTCGTCGGGGAATGCTGGCGAATCTCAACCCTCGGATTGAGCGTTCCGACCATCAGGATTCCTCGACGTCCCTCAAAGTTTCGTCGGGAAACGTCGACGTTCACTTCAGACATAAAGAGAGAGGGGACTGGCTGGCATCGTGCGCTGGTTGGGAAAGTTGTCAAACTACAGTAGCCAATCAGTGCTCATATTGCCGCCAACACACGACAGAAATCAGGAGAATGATCTCGACGATTCGGGGAAAACCCGCTAAACGCAGGGGGAGGTGGGGAGGGAAGGGGGGCGGGGGAGGGGGGGCCGGCAGGTATTCCCTATACAGAGTAAATTTGGTCCCCGAAAAAAAAACCCAGAGGCCTCAGAGTAAACTACAGCATAACTCTGGCAAATCAGAGAAATCGGAAGTCCCAAAAAAATTACCCAGCGGGTACAGAGTTACTTTAAAAAATGACTCTGATTTTCAGAGAAACAGAGTAATTTACTCTGAAAACGTGAGGCCTGGTGACCAGGTGCTCGGCTGATGGTTCCTGCATACCGTATTTCTTGATCGAATGTCAGGCGGTCTGTGTGTGGTACAGTATGCCTGTTGCTCCATTTCACTGGTTTCTGGTGTAATGATGGTCTTCTTTATCTTACTTGAATGGTCTTCACTTCAGCCTGATGGTTAGTGTAATGATGCTGACCCCCTGCAATGGTTAGTCATCATGTACATGCAGTTTGTTGCTGTCACTGGTTCATGCAGCAGGTTATTGCAAACAGGTCAGATCAAACCATGTCTATAAATACACATCGTGCAAGCAACTTTCCACATTCACCAGCAACAGCTACGGTATGGTACATGTCACAGTTGCTTACAAGGCCAATGCTGAGCGTTTATGAGACAGACAGATCGCCAATGTTGAGCTTGCTGCTATGCAAACAAAATTTTAGACACACCACTGCCAGCACTGTGCATGTACACTCAGCGTACACACTCAGCCAAGTGGCAATGGTCAGAGGTTGTAGACGCAGAGCGAGAGGCCGACGTAAAGGGTGGAGGAAGTGCAGACGAAGCCACTGTTGAGCTTGCTGACGTACGAGGTCTTCCCGCGGAAGTACTTGTATATGATGGCCGCACACGTGTCGCCCGACTTGACTGTGTAGCGCTTGCTGCATGATGAGGCGCCGAACTTGGCTTGCGCCACACAGAGCTGTGCATGGGGGAGGGAGGGAGGGAGGAATAGAGAGGGGGGCAGGGGGGGGGGGGGGGGGGGGGGGGGTGGCAGTGAGAGGAAGCATGAGGTGAGAGAGGGAAACCAGTGCAGGAAGGATTTGAAGGCTTGAGACAAGGGGAGTTCCGCATTGAAGCTGAGGTTTCTCACTGTGCCCACGCGCTTCCATATTTGAGTCTCAGCCCCCTCCTCTTGAGTCACCGAATAGTTGGAGTAGTCGATGAGGTTGTTGCAGTTGAGCCCAGGGTTCAGCCGGTGCAGCTCCGTGGCTGTGAGAAGATTCAACCCCTCACATCACACTCACATCGCGCTACCACCACACGACCACTAGTGTCTTAGCACCTCTTCTCCTGCCTCACCGACGAATCGGAATAGTCGATGAGGTTGTTGCAGTTGAGCCCAGGGTTCAGCCGGTACAGCTCCGTGGCCGTGAGGCCGTATGTGCTCTGCACGCTCGCACACGTGTCGGTGGCGCTGAGCGTGTAATACTCCGTGCACACTGTTGACACGGAGGCTGGTGGGAGGGCTTGGCCCATCTCCACGCACACCTGGTGGGGGGAGGAGGGAGGGCGTTGGAGAGAGAGAATGGGGCACACGTGGCAATGAGGCTCAGCGTGTAATGCTGCTCCGTGCACACTGTTGACACTGATGCTGGCGGGAGTGCTTGGGCTACCTCCACGCACTCCTGGTGAGGGGAGAAAGGGCGTGCATGAGGTGGGGCGGCGATGCGATGAGATGAGACTCAGTGTGTCATGTCGTGCTCTGTGCACCACGCTGATGCCACAGGGGCGAGTGGGAGGGCTTGGCCTTGTTCCAGACAGAACCGAGGGGAAGGTAGAGTGAGCTAGAGAGTTGAGCACGTGTGAGAGCAGAGAGCGTGTAAGAGTGGAGGGTTGGAGTGACAATGAGGCTCAGCGTGTAAATGGGGTTGGGGTAGGTGGGCGATGGTCAGGTGGAAAACAGCATTTGACAGAGGGATGCGTGGGGGAGGGTTATGTGGGGTAGGGAGGCTTACTTGGTTGGCGGTGATGTTGCTGCAGTCGAGGGTGGGATTGAGGGAGGTGAGATTGGTGAGGTTGAACTTGGTTGCTATCGATGCACACGTGTCGTTCTGATGAGGGGGGGGGCGAGAGACGCAAAGAGGGGGAAGAAAGAAGGGTGGCTTTAGCAAAATCTAAAAAATGACTCTTGCGGTTGAACGGGGGAGAGAAGGGGAATGGGGAAATGTAAGCCATGCCGCCCCACTTCTGGCAGTAGTTGGTTGGTGCACATCTTGACAGCCAAGCCGACTATGCTTGGATGATGATCAAGACTGTGTGCATGTGGAAGCAAAGGAAAGAGGCGTACCGGCTGCGTGGTGTAGTAGTTGATGCACATCTTGACGGCTGATGCTGACGTGACGTTCACAGTCACCCCAGCTGTCAGGTTGCTGCTGCAGTCAATGGCCTGGTGGGGGGTGGGGAGGGAAAGGGGTGAGGGGTGTGGGTGGGGGAAGGGAAGGGATGAGGGGAACGGATGGAGGAATCCTACCATGGTTTGGAAGGCAGTGGTGATGTTCTTGCCATGTGCGCGTGCATGTGCGTGTGCATGTGCATGTGCATGAGACGCACCGCATTCATGGATTGGAAGTCAGTGGTGGTGATGTTGTTGGCAGCACAGATGGTGTCGCACGTGTCGCCCGCCTGGATGGTGTATGTGGTGGCCGCAATGGGTGCTGCATTCATGTAGGGGGAGGGGAGGGGAGGAATGGAGAGGCGAAGAGAGGTGAGGAGAAGAGAGGATGGTGTCGCGCGCCTGGATGGTGTCGCACGCCTGAATGGTGTACGTGGTGGCCGCGATGGGCGCTGCATTGGGAGGGAAGAGGATGGGAGAGGAGACAAGGGAGGAGAGGAGACAAGGGAGGAGAGGAGAAGAGGGAGGAGAGGAGAAGAGGGAGCTCAGGGAGGAGAGGAGAAGAGGGAGGAGAGGAGAAGAGTAAAAAGGTGAAGAGAGGCGACGAGAGGAGAGGAGAGGGGTGGATGGTGTCGCATGTGTCTCCCTCCTGGAGAGGTGAAGAGAGGTGGAAGAGAAGAGAGGGAAGGAGAGGATGAAGTCGTATGCATGTGGTTGCCGCGAGAGAGGTGAGGAGAGGGTGGGTGAGAGGGTGGGAGAGACACATGCGTTGTGGTTGTGTAGTGCCCTGTTATGAGACGCCCTGTTGTGAGATGATTAAAAAAACTAGACGTACGCGGAATGCAGGTAGCAGAGCCGTCAGGGCGAGCAGTGGAGGTGTAGTTGGCAGGGCACGTGCAGTTGTAGCCGCCCACACCATCGTCCACACATGTGCCGGCGCCACAGGGGTTCTGCATCAGCAGCATGCACACCGTCTCTGGTGGAGGGAGAAGGGGGCGAGGGAGAAGGGGGCGAGGGAGAAGGGGGCGAGGGAGAAGGGGGCGAGGGAGAAGGGGGCGAGGGAGAAGGGGGCGAGGGAGAAGGGGGCGAGGGAGAAGGGAGAGAGGCAGAAACAAAGGGAGAAGGGTTAGAGGTCTGTCCGAATAAGAGGTCAGGAGGTGTGAACGCCATTTTCAACTCAGAACACACGCACATGACTAACCATACACAGTGCATGCATACACCGTTTTCAAGGCACCCTGCACCATGAAGCACGCGGCACGAGGCACCATAATCAAGTGTCAGCACCACAATCAGCACGCGGCACGAGGCACTTACTGACAATGCACGTGTCGGTGCCGTCCACGTTGACAGCGGGGATGAGGAAGGGCTCCACCGTGCAGTCGCACGAGTAGAACTGCTTCGGCTTCTCCCCCGGCTTGGGCGGCAGCGGCGGGTCCAAGCACTTGCCTGCGCCACAGGGGAAGCCCAGACACCACTTGCCGGGGACGGCTGAGGCGGGGGAGGGGTGGAAGAGGGAGAGTGGAGAAGAGGGGGGCATGTGCGTTGAAGACAAGAGAAATCACGTTGCAGCACTTGCCAGTCCTGCACGGGGAGCCGGTGCTTTGAGAGGCATACCGGGAAAGAAAATACGGGGTAGTAACCCTAGCACTCACCAGGCAGCATGGGGTAGTAACCCGGTTCGCTCCACATGCCGCAGTAGCCAAAGGGAGAGCGGTCAAAGCCGATGCGCATGTGGCCGTTGTCGCCCCACGTGGTGCCCCAGCTGTTGCGCAGAATGAAGTAGCTCCCCGGCTGCCCTTGCTCCTCCAGGTGATACCCCACCAGCACCACCACATGGTTCACCATGCGGTTGGCAAAACACGTCTTATCCGTCAGGATGTTCGTCTGGCGAGAAAGGGGAGTGAGGAGGGGAAAGAAGGGTGAGGGAAGGGTGGGGAGGAGAGGGAAGCGGAGGAGAATGGGGAAGTTGTTAGTAGGCTAGAGAAGCCTTGCAAACTCGAAAATGGTCTTAATCCGCGTCCCCGAACACCACACCATGAGAATCACGTAAAGCAGCCTCTGGCACTGCACTCCACCGCATCCAACCGCATGCCAGCCCACCCCGCCCCTCTCCACCGCTTTGCATCTCACCCACCTCGTTGTAATCAAGGAAGCAGTCTTGGTCGGCCTCGACGTGCACGACGGGCGGCTGGAATTGCAGCGCCAGTAGGTGCACAAGCACACAACAACCCACCCCACCGTTTCCCACCACTTCCGATCGCATTCCACCGCATCCAACTCACCCCGTTTTAGCTGAGGAAGCAGTCCTGGTCGGCCTCGACATGCAGAACCACGGGCTGGAACTGCAGTGTCAGGATGAGCACAAGCATGCAACAACCCACACCACCCCTCTCCACCGCATCCCACTCACCCCATTGTAGTTGAGGAAGCAGTCTTGGTCAGCCTCCACGTGCACGACCACGGGTTGGAACTGCAGCGCCAACATGAGCCCAATGGGCCCCAGCAGACTCGCCCGCTCGTAGAACCTCACGTTCGCCACCCCTGGGTTTGTCTGGATCTGAGTGTGGGGAGCGGAGGGGAGAGGTAGGGATGGGTAGGGTAGGCGGATGAGGGGGGGTGGGAGGAACCGGCTCAACAGACTCGCCCGCTTGTGAAACTGCACCAACGCCATCGCCACGCCGTGGTTAGGTTGTGTGAAGGGTGGGAGGAGCAAAGTGAAGACCGAGGAAAACCAAAAAGACATAGAAAAAAAAAAAAATCTTTGCTGAATTAGGCGGACCTTGGCTCAAATGAAGGATGAAAAGGAAGAGTGAAACAATAAAAACAAAATGAAGAATGTATAGAAAACTAGTGACTGACTTACAATGGTCTTGTTACATATCGTGCTGTCATTTGCCATGTAGGGATACACCGCAGCGGACACAAGCGGATTCGCGATGGCGTATTCAAATGCGTCCGTCGTGAACCCGCCGTCGCAGTCGTCCGTGCCACACGTCAGCAGCTGCTGCACCGACACGCGGTTCGGCGGCTGGATGCGATAACCCAGCAATGCGCCGTCAATCGCCGACGCTGCTGCGAACGCCCAGCATGAACCTGATTGGGGAAGGGGGAAGGGGAAAGGGGAAAGGGGACGGGGTGGGAAGAGGATGTTCGAGGGGGGATGAGCGGGAGCGGGATGGGGATGGTGATGGGGAGAAGGGCGGTGAGGCGGGGACTAGGAAGCTAACAAGCAGGAAGGCAAGGAGTTTCGGCTCATGCCTGTTACGACCACGACGCGCTACCGAGGCGAGCAGTAGCATTCGTTGCAACCAACACAGCCACCTATTGCACACACACCAACACAAGCACTCACTGCAGAGGCTGGGCGAGTCCTGATCCACGACAGGGTGTTTTTGAGAATTCTCACACAGCAACCAACACAGCCACCTGTCGTTGCACGCACACGCACACCAACACAAGCACTCACTGCAGAGGCTGGGCGAGTCTTGATCCACGACAGCCGACAGGTTGGCGCGCCAGTCGACGTTGCTGTGTTCCCGCAGCGCCCACTTGGCCGTGTTGTTGCTGCTCTCTATGCGCAGCGACACGGACGCGTAGTGGAACCACCGATTCTGCTTCGGCCGCGAGTCGTTGCGCGGGATGGGCAGCCCTCCCAGCGAGCGATCTCCGATGCGCGCTGAGGTGGGGGGGAGTGGGAAGGGGGGGACGGGAGGGGGCGGGGCGGGGCGGGGCGGGGACCACAAGGGGATTTGCAAGGCGATGCGTGAGCATGTGGAAGGCAGGAGGAAGGAAACAAGAGACAGTGCAGTAGCGAGGCGCAGGCGCAGCCGTAGCGAGGCGCAGCCGCAGCGAGGCGCAGCTGTAGCGAGGCGCAGCTGTAGCGAATCGCAGTTCATGCGTTCCGCATCCTAGGGAAACGGACAGCGCCTTACGCACGAATCGCTTTTCATGGCTGTATGTGGTTTCGACCGCAACTCACTGGGGAAGTAGTTCGGCGGGTCGGTCGGATCGCCAGAGGTCTGTCCCGCTCCCCCTCCTTCACCACCGGGAGAAGTGACATTCCCGCCACTACCGCCAACGCCGCCGCCATTAGGATCACCGGACCCAGCTTCCCCGTCCCCGCCCTCTCCGCTTCCCCCCTCTCCTCCTCCACTCGAGGTCTGCGCGGGGGCAGCGCTGGCGGTGACGTCGAAGCCGAGGAGCGTGTGCGCGGAGTAGTACTTTGCGCCCGTGCTCGCGCTGAACCCGATGTACAGCGGCGTGTCGCCGTCAGAATTGTTAGCCGGCGCTGGAAAAAGCGCACACGGGTCGAAGCTTGTAATGAAGGTGTTCTTAGCGGGGCGACTCTTGGCAGTGCTGAGGAAGACGGAGAGTTGCTTCGTGGCGGGGGTGTAGTCGATCCAGACGTATTTGATTTTCGCGTCTTTGAGCGCGGGGATGGCTGCCTTGCTGGCGGTCACTGATTTGACGGACGCGTTTAGGTTGAATCCGATGTGCGGCGCGGCCTTGTCCCAAGTGTCCCTGAAAAAAAAAATCACGGAAGAAAAGGGAGGTTATGGAAAAAAAAACCAAGAACGAGGAAATATAATTTCCTTTCGTGCACCCACTTGAAGGACGCCGCATCAAAACTGCTTTCAGCAAAGCGCTGCACTTACTTAAATGTGTCGAACTCCACCGCGAAGCTCGGCGAGTCGCCCGTCTCGCCCCACCCGAGGAACCCACTGTCGCTGCCCGCCTCCCACGCCGCGTTCGCCGTCACGAAGAACGTCACCCCTTGCCCCGCCTTCGACGCGCCGTTCTTCGCGGACGCTACCGCGAACGCGAACGACGCCGAAAACGCCAGCGGCGCGCAGCCGCTGCCGGTGGAGGAGGCGCGGTCGGTGAGGACGATGGCGGAGGGGTTGAGCGCTCCGCCCGCCAGCAGCGCGGCGTCGCTGGTGAGGGTGACGGCGGGACAGGCCTTGTAGGTCGCACTGAGCGCATCGCCGGAGAGCGCGAAGTTGGAGAGGGACTCCGCGAACGAGCAGTCTGCGGCGCCGCGAGGGAATGTGCGGGGAGGAGGGGGGGGGAGCAGAAGAAGAGGGGGGAAAACGAGGGGGAAACGAGGAAAGGGGAGGACGGGGAGGGAAATCGGAAACTGCAGTTTTGATACGACTCTGGCTGCGTAGGGCGTTTAGGTTAGCTTGAGCGACGGATGGAAAGGGACACGCGCGGCGCGAGGGAGAGAGGAGAAGGGAGACGTGGTGAGGAGATCGCTAGTGACTGCTGACACCAACGACGGAGAGCCTGACGCCGACGGTGGAGTACGTTGAGATTCCTACCGTTACTAATAGCGGTCAGCTTCAGACTTAAACAGACAGCCGGCAAGCCCGCAGTGCACAAACTATAGGAGGCTCTGGGACTTGTGATAACACGTGCCCTTTGACGTTTGGGTCCAGCGGCGGACCTGCGAGAGCAGCGATGCCGCGCATTCTGGACCGCAATGCGCAATTCCCAGCACACGCGCGGCGCGTTTGTTTTACCGACCCTGCGCATTTGCGATTTTCGTCCTGCCTCTGCCCGTGACTCTCCTTTGCAATCAAGTGGTGCGGAAAAGTATCCACTAACCAGGTGGTGGGGGAGGAGGCGGGGACGGCGGGGGAGGCGGGGGCGGCGCGGACGGGGGCGGCGAACGAGGAGTTTTCTTCGATTTTCTCCCCGCAGATGCGCCGTGCAACGCGGATATGCACAGGAGAGCCAGAGGTAGTAGCAAAGCTAGCCGCATATTCTGGCGACGCGAAGGTCTCCGTTGCTGCGACGCGCCCCTCCGCCGCCATTGCGACGAAACACGAACGCCAGTCGAGGCGTCGTGTAAGCCGCCACATTGGTTTGGATGTAACATGCTGGCTGTTGTGTCGTCGGATGCGCGACGGCTTGCAGTCCACACAATCCAAGGAACTGACGAAAGAGACTCGCGAGTTGGAGGGGCCTCCTTGGCGACGCCGTGCAAGCAGGCGGAAATGGTGCAGCACTAGCGACAGTCCGCTTCCGTTTCGAGCACGCTGATTCTGACAAGGGACTCCAGGGCGTCGATATGAGGGGCGACCGACGATGAAGTGAGGAGGATGCGGTTGCGAAGCGAAGCCCCCAAGCCAGCCAACCAACACTGACGAGAGTGGTGGCGAAGTTACCCACTTTCGGGTGCGATAGGAAGAAAAACGAAGGCGGTGTTCGCCAGCACTTTTGAAAACGAAAACGACGGGATCTGGAAGGTCAGTCACGCCTTCCTGATCCCGTCAGTTAGGGTTCGTTAAGCTCCGTCAGCCTGGTCAGCCCGTAAAATTCGTGCCGAAGCTAGGATGTCGTCCGAGCCTAAAGCAATCTGCGGTGCCTGGCGAACGCTCTCATTTTTCTCAATTTTCGGAAGGAAACATGGCATTCGGAAATGGGGACGCGACTTCCTCCCCAGGCAAACGTCCCGTCTCATGCCATTCCGTGGCAATCCACCATTTCACGTGGACCGCCGTGGTTTGGCGATGTAATTGGCTGTCGGAGGAAGGTGGGGTGTGGGGTTCCATATGCGGTTGTGAAGTTTCTCATGTCGGGGCTGGAAAGTTCGCGGGTGGCATTTCGCCCAAACCTTTTCGGAGGGTTCCGACCCCGCTTCCTGATGCCGTTGCCAGTCCAATGCCTTCCATTTTCTTCCAATCTCAAAGGTGCTGGCGAACACCGCCGAAGACTTGCCTGTTCAAGAGGAAAAGGCTTCAGGGCTGGACCACGTGGGGAAAGGGAGGGAGCAGGAACGAGGAGGAAGGAGCATGAATGGTCTGTGGGACATGGTTCTGCAATTCGCACGAGGGGAGGTTAGACCTGGTGAATCGGACAAATGCCCTTTTATCTGTTCTGGTGAGATCCCGGTACAGTACAACTCCACGACACAAATTGGACACAAGGTCTGCCCCATGGATATTTCTGGTTTCTGCCATATTCTGCCCTTAAGCAGCAATCGGAGCTTCTCAAATCGGTCCAGCGGCATCTCCGCTCCACCTGAGGCGGATTCACTGGCGCAGGTTCTGATGGCTTCACCAAGCTCGACAGGCAAGTTTCCTGCTTTTTCCTGATTTTAAACCTCCACACACCCCTCACAACAAAAATAATGAGCTCTCTACAGTTCTCCCAGTTGAAGTTTGTTCTTTGTTTGAAATTCATGTTTCACATTCTCAAAATTCATTTTTGATTTGATCGAACTCATATGTCCCGGGCGGCCCAGGGAATGGCCCGAGGCGCAGGAGCTTGTTGGCTTTGCTGGGATCAGGGTGGCCGTCAACCACGCCGCGCCTCCCCCGTCCGTCCCCATCAACTGAAATCTGTTGAGCGCGAATCGTCGCACGCAGATGCTGGTGGTAGGGAGGGATTGGCCCAACTTTCACTCCACTTCAGCCTGTTGCCAAGAGTGCTGCCGCGGAAAATCCACCTGAATGAACCAGGGTCAGGTCAGCACGCACGACCCATCAAGCCAAGGTAGCCCTTCAATAAAAAACTGATTTGACGGGCATAAAATTGTTCCATCATCTGTAAAAGGATCTTCCTTCGGGGCGTAAATCCAACGGTTGCAATGCAAAAAATGTCAAGCAAGGACGTGGTACAGATCAGGGAGATCTGAGGCTGATTGCCTCGATCCCGCAATCCACAATTTCCAAGAAAGTCCAAAACGTACTTTTCAGCAATCGGGGGCAATCTGTCAATCGCATTTGAGATCGTGAACGATTGCGATCGATTGCCTGATCTGATGCAATCGATTGCAACCGATCACGATCGACAGGTTTGGCGAATGGCGAACGTGCGCGATTTGTAACCATTGTCGCTAGAGTTTCGCTTTTGCTCGCTGCTACATAGACATCTCGCGACAGTCGAACCTTCCAGGCTGAGCCTCTGGACCAATCAACGCAGCCCCAATGAAAATGAATATAACACGCGTAATGGGGCAACACTGTAATTTCGGCATACAGATGTACTCAATTGGTTTCGCCAAACTTGAGCTGGAAAGTACATACTACTAGCCTGGAAGGCGCAGTTGATGTTCCGTCGCGTCGGATCGGGGCGATCACACCCAGTCGCTCGCAATCTGATCCAATCAACTATGATTGCTTGAGATCGAAACAAACTGTACCACGTCCTAAACAGCTTTCGCAGGGGTACTACTTAGCGACCCTGCGCTTTCAAGGGGACTACAGTGCTATATGCGGGCAATTTCCGCCACTCCGCCACTCCGACAGGAACATTATGGCAACAACACAGAACTGGGTCCCACATTCACCCACGTGTCACAAATTTCGCAAGCCACTGGAAAAAATATCCCATTACCTGACCCAAAAAACTAAAACCCAATCGGGAAAGGATGCGTCTCGGGGAGGCATCAACCCTAAAAAAAATGTGGGTTCCCGTGTTCATGGTTGATCCCTCCCGAAAATGAGCCCAGGTTCCCTCTGGGTTTTTTTTCGTTGCGAAGCAACCCTTTAAGATCTATTTAGCCAAATTTTATTTTCATATTTATATTTTTTACAAAATCATGAAAATAAAATTTGTCAACTACAGTAATACCCTTCCCATACTGTATGCATGTTGAGCAATTTTGAATATGGTACTCTTCATGGTGCATTAAACCATATGATTTTTTTTCCAATTGTTTAGTGTAGATTTGTTGTACTGCTTATATTATATATTATTTTTAGATGATGTTGTGTAATGATAAAGAGATGAATGCGTGATGCATAAATGATGCTATACAATACATAATGCATAGAATGATGCTATATAATGCATGTGATATGTCCTGAATGATGCACATGCACATGATAAAGTGCATGACAATTAACCAAAAAACTAAGCTACCGCCATCCCCTGCCTAGCATGGGGGGGAGGTCAATAGCTTAGCTTTTGAATAATCAACTACCGCATGAAACAACACAATCTGTGAAGTCTACAAACGAGATCAACCTACCAAATCCAGTTCAAGTGAGCGTACCCGTTCGAGTGTAACTCAATGAACATTTGGGAAATGATATAACTGATTCTCATTTCTAAAAACCACAGGTACAGACATGCATTGTTGATGAAATAACAGATGGATAATGATATGGTAGATGAATGCCACACACATACGGACACATACGCATGCAATCAGACGGACACACGCACGCACAGAAGCTCGGAACAAGCCAATGCAAAAAGAACTTACGAAGGAAGAAAAAAAAAACACAGAAGATGCAAAAGATCACTACCAAGCAATACAACACAATTAGACCTAATCGCCACAAATGTGATCGTTCCTCCTTTAAATAGGACCTTCAATTCCCGAATGGTACAGCAAAGCCTCTGAAAAGTAGGAAATAGGGAAACGTAAGGGGGGAAATGGGAAATAGAAGTTGAGGGGATATAGATGGCGACTTTGAAAAAAAAAAACCACAAGCTGGCTTTCTGAACACAAATAGCGGGGATTTGGAGTAAACGGAAAAGAGGAAAGAGAAAAAAAGTAAGAAGAAAAGTCCAAAGAGCTCCACGTAGGTAAGAATGGTAAAGTACAGAACAAAGGAAATAAGAATGATCATCGAAAGAAGGGGAGAGGAATAAAAATGCTGAGAGGGAGAAGATACCTCATATTCAAAATGCTAAAAGTGTTTCTCCACTAAAATGAAAGGGAACGAGCGAAATGCTTATGAACCTTGAAAACATGAAATACTAAAATCTTTACAGCTTGCACCACAAAAAAACGACTAGAAAACGAGAATAAGAAATGTTAGCCTAGATCGTACTCATCTAACATAGTTCTAGTTAATAAGTTAGCATTGATCTTACCTTGATGTGGTAGGTGGAGCGTAATCAGCGGGGCATTGTAAGCTCAACTAGCGAGAGGAAGGGAGAGAGAAAAAAAGGATGATCAAACCCTAAGGCAAAGCAAACGGAAAAAATGAATGAAGAATGCAAAACGAACGGAAGAGGGACACAATATATTAATGCAAGAATAGACACTAATCCGAAGCACGAATACAACAAACAGAGAGAAATGAAAGGGAGCGGAATGAAATGTAAGATACAAAAACGAACGAGGAAAAAGAGATGTCTTCAAGGAAAGTAAAGAAGGAAGAATTGGAAAAAATGAACAACTCGCCTAGCAAAG